ATATTTTTTTACGTATAATTGAAAGGTGTAATAAAAACTATAGCATTCCATTTAAAATAACGAAGTTGTGGTCTACTTCCGGTAGACCGGAAGTGGTGGCCATCTTGAAAATGTTTTAGATTGAAAGTTTAGAATGAACAACCCATGCTACCAAAATTTCAAACCTCTATGAATAGTGGAACCTAAAAAAGTTCTAACGAACCAGTTACGTGAGACACCTGTATATATATTTTTTTTATTATTTGTTTTTTGTTCCAGTTTTTGTTTTTTTTTGTAATGGGGCTGGGTGGTAGAACAAATACCACTTTTGTGGCAATTTGAACTCAGCACCTTTTTTCTGCCATGCATTTATTTTGTTTTAGTTCTGCTTTTTATTGATATAAATATGTATATATATATTTTTTGATAATAATGTTAGGCTTCGTAGTCGAAATAATACCCTGGTTTATGTTAACTTAATTATATTTACCGAGAAGAACCAAAACTACAAATACGTGTCTCGAACGACAATTAAAATCGAACTCTGAACGAGTCGAGCGTACAAGACAATAATATCATGCGTCGTACATGTGTGCGATTATGGTTGTCTAACAATAATGTATTGTATGGTTGAAAATAAAGGATTTATTATTATTATTATACTTACCAGTCATATCTAGTAGTCATGTTTTTTATAGGGGTATGGAAGACCAACTAATGAGCTTAATACCTATCATTTTGTTTTCTCACTCGATCTTATGGAATCTTATATATTTTCGTTTTACGCATATACAGTGTGTCCCCGTAAGGTACAATTGACGATAAATTTTTGAATTTAAATTCTATCTTTTGCAATTAAAGTCAGGATGTCATAAAACGAAATTTAACCAAGTTTTACGTTAAATGTCCTCAAAGCACTAAAGTTAACGCAACAAATTTGTTCAACGTTGCAGGTAAAGTACTCTTTCTGAGCAATATACAACAAAAGTTGATTTAAGATATACTTACTGGGGACATCAATCAGTATAGTGTATTAACTAAAGATCAAGTCGATTGCGCTGAAGATAAGATAAGAATTTGTCAACACGAATTGTTTCATTTAATTAACCATACCTACTTAAAAATAATATTTTACTATAACCAAAGAAATTGTATATATAGAAGCAGTTGTAAACACTAAAACTTGAAGCCAACGCAACATGCGGTTTGTTTACTAATAACCTTTGTCGAAACCGGTTAAAACAATGAACGTGCACAGATCGGACTAGCGGCCGATTATCGCCGAACATTCCCGAATATTATTGCCCCTAGATTAAGGCATACACTAAAATAAACAAACCTATTTGCGAATCAATAAATAATTCGTTTTTCTTCACTTTGATTTATTTATATTTTCTTTGTAAATAATTTGTATGTTATACTCTACATACAAATTATTTACTAGTACTTTTAGTTAGAAATTAAACTTAGCAATCAAAATACTATATACATACTTGTATCATTTACCCAGTATATTGTTTCTACATGCTCTGATTAATTTAAAAGATTACATTATATTAATTGTGTTTAATACTTTCAAGTCTTATTAAAACTTGACAAAAATATAGAAAAAAATGCATTCTACAATTTATAAAATTGTTAGAATAATTTTTCAATTTGTAGTTAGTTTAACAATTAATTTTTATGTCACTTAAAGTATTATAAATAATTATTTTGCACTTTAACTGGTTAATTAAATATATTGATTTGAATATTAAGTTCTAATTTGACATGTTTCGCTTTAACAATTAATTTTTAATTGTAATTTTATATAAGAAATTAGGATGCTCTTTCGATACGCCACTGGATAAAGTCTGACCAATTTCATCTAAATCGTACACGCCACTGTCGCTAGGACCAAGGTCAATTTTGTTTCCAAACAAATGCTCTTGCGTTGGCTTCAAACCGGTATACAGGCGAACATAGGCGATGCGGCTTCTATATATACAATTTCTTTGTATATACAGGGTGAGTCAATAGTGCGGGGACGGAAGATAGTGGCTATACTATTGAAAATAAAAGAAATGTTTTTATGCCATCATATATTACCATCAAAGCTGTATCGATTAAAATTATTTTCAGCTATACAGGGTGTTTCACTATTCCAGGACCATACTCAACTTCATTTTTTTAAATGGAACGCTATGTATTTTTTTACATATTCTGATTTGCTGTCTTAAATGCTACGACTGCATATCTTGTTTTTAAATTTTGAATGCAAGGTTGCCAAGTTATTATTTTTTTTGTGAAAAAGTTTGAAAATTCAGGTGGTCACTTAAAATTCGTTATCTGCATTAATATTGAATATTGAAGATTGCAATTTGGGGTGTCGATAAACAAAGCTTGGGTCTTTCGAACACTGTTCATACTATTGGATATCATTGTACAGGGTGTTTAGCAAAAGCGATTAATTTATGCAATGTTTGGAGAACCATAACTTTGTTATTTTAAATGGAACACCCCGTATTTTTCTAAGGTTTCGGATAGCCTTATTAATTCTCTTTTATTTTTGTTAAGCATATGATATATCTAATACGTGTACTTTTTGAGAAAATTAGACTGTTTTAAAAATGTCAGTATAAACGTGATTTATTTACAAAATGTAGGCTATGGAACAACATTTTTGAACATATAAGTAAGTTTATGTCGAAAAAGATATAGGTGCAATACACAATATTAAAAAAAATACAATGAAGAATTAAGCAACAACCATTAACAAAACAAAATTAAAGTAAATGTTCAATATAGCCTCCTTGTTGTTGAACACAAGTTTCAATTCGTCTAAGAAATGAAACATTAACGTTCTGCAACATGTTTACGTTTATTGTTTCAAACGCATCGCGAATACGATTCATCATATTTGCTTTCGTCGTTGGTGGTTCTTCATATACCAAGCTTTTTACATATCCCCACAAAAAAAAATCTAATTTTGTCAAATCCGGAGAACGTGGTGGCCATCTAACAGGACCTCCTCTGCCTACCCACCGATCAACAAAAATTCTGTCTAAATGTCTTCTAACTATCCTACTATAGTGAGGTGGCGCACCGTCGTGCTGAAACCACATTCTTTGCCGAACGTTTAGTGGAACATCTCCTAAAAGTGCTGGCAGGTGATTTTCCAAAAAATTCCAATAAGATTCTCCGTTAACGTTTCCCTCGAAAAAATACGGCCCGATCAAACAAGATCCTACTATCCCTGCCCAGACATTTACAGACCATCGATGTTGGTGGTCTACTGGTCGTATAAAATGAGGATTGATAGTATCATAATAATGAAAGTTATGGCGGTTAACGTAGCCATTTTTGTGAAACGTTGCCTCATCGCTGAATAATAGATAATCAAAAAAATTATACTCTTGTTGAACTTTTTCTAATGCCCATTCCGAAAATTCTAGCCTTTTCTGGAAATCAGTTGCATCAAGTTCTTGTACTAATTGAATATGGTATGGATGAAATTTATATTTTCGTAAGATTCTTGAAACAGACGTTTGGCTGACGTTAAGCTCATTGCTTATTTTGCGTGTACTAGTGTGCGGGTTTTCAACTACCTTTAATAATACAGAAAGTTCGTTCTCTTCCCGAGTGGTTCGTTTCTCGCGATCTTTTTTTTCGTATTTGACGTGTCCTGTTCTTTCAAACCTTTCTTGAAGGTTTTCAAATGCTTCAACCCTAGGATGCCTACGCTCTGGAAATTGTTGAGCGTAAAGTCTAGAGGCAAGAAATGGATTTCGCTCTCCCGCACCCAAGAAATATACCATATCAATAAGTTCTTCTTGACTAAAATTCATTTTAATCAAACAACAGATTTTGGAAACACGTTATGAACAAACAAAGAGAAATCAAAACTTAATTGTTTGACACTTCGTATTGCTATAAAAATCTTTTCAAAGCCTACTTTTTTTTAATAAATCACGTTTATGCCGACATTTTTAAAGCAGTCTAATTTTCTCAAAAAGTACACGTATTAGAGATACCATATGCTTAACAAAAATGAAAGATAATTAATAAGGCTATCCGAAACCTTAGAAAAATACGGGGTGTTCCATTTAAAATAACAAAGTTATGGTTCTCCAAACATTGCATAAATTAATCGCTTTTGCTAAACACCCTGTACAATGATATCCAATAGTATGAACAGTGTTCGAAAGACCCAAGCTTTGTTTATCGACACCCCAAATTGCAATCTTCAATATTCAATATTAATGCAGATAACGAATTTTAAGTGACCACCTGAATTTTCAAACTTTTTCACAAAAAAAATAATAACTTGGCAACCTTGCATTCAAAATTTAAAAACAAGATATGCAGTCGTAGCATTTAAGACAGCAAATCAGAATATGTAAAAAAATACATAGCGTTCCATTTAAAAAAATGAAGTTGAGTATGGTCCTGGAATAGTGAAACACCCTGTATAGCTGAAAATAATTTTAATCGATACAGCTTTGATGGTAATATATGATGGCATAAAAACATTTCTTTTATTTTCAATAGTATAGCCACTATCTTCCGTCCCCGCACTATTGACTCACCCTGTATATAATCTTTATAACGTACGCTCTTTTTGATCCTGAAGATTATTAGATCCTGACTTTCTAAAGATTATTTTGGTCCATTTTGTCACTAACAAATTTCATCGAAATCTTTGAGGGAGTTGTGACACTTACCTTGAAAGTGCAAGTTATTATTTGTACTGTGTTAAAAGACACAATATATACAATTTATTTAGAATCTTTAATCGAATAATGAACATTGAGACAGTTATATTCATTGTTAGTTAATTCATATGCTACATATATCTAGGTTACTCTTTTATTATAATATTAGTTATTGATGATGAATTTATCCACATTTTCTCCGTTAAAAGTCGCAACATCTGAATAATTTAATTTTTGAGGTTTAAAGCGTTTGAGTTATGTTGATATAAATTAAGAATTTTGGAATTGTGCTATTCCATCAAGTTATTTATTAATAATTATTTTCAGGTTTATTGTGTGATCTTTTATGGTCGGATCCGGATAAAGATATACAGGGCTGGGGAGAAAATGACCGTGGCGTATCCTTTACGTTTGGTGCGGACGTCGTGAGCAAGTTCCTAAATCGGCACGACTTGGATCTGATATGCCGCGCGCATCAAGTTGTAGAAGATGGTTACGAATTCTTCGCAAAAAGGCAACTGGTTACATTATTTTCCGCACCAAATTATTGCGGGGAATTTGATAATGCGGGAGGAATGATGAGCGTTGATGAAACACTTATGTGTTCTTTTCAGGTAAGATAATAGTAAAATAAAGAAATAAATAAGTAAAATAAATGAGGTTGAAAGAAAAAAAAAATGTTTAGGTGTTTTTTAAAGAAAATCGATAAGGGAAGTTTTCGTATGGGAAAAAAGGATGGTGATAGAAAAAAAATGTGGGTTAATATTTGTTTTTGAATTTTGTTTAGATTTTGAAACCGTCTGAAAAGAAAGGAAAGCACCAGATCCACGGGAAGCCTATTTGAACAATAACGCGAATTTGCTTATAACTTACTAAAAAAAAAATAATAAAGAGTCTGTTCCGTTATTAAGAATGAAAGAAAAGAAATTTAAATAAAAAATTAAAAATACAAATAAATTTTTATCGATTAAATGAGAAAGAAATGGGGAAAGTTTTATTTTGTTTTTAGGTTTATCTGATGTTTGTTTTTTCTTTGTTTGGTTGTTTAGATATTGAAACCATCTGAAAAGAAGGCAAAGTACCAGTACCAAGGCTCAAATTCGGGTCGCCCGGCGACACCGCAACGTGCTGCAGCACAACCGACCACAAAGAAAAAATAATTGTATTGGTATATAAAACAATTTGTCATACAATATATTTTGCATTTTATTTTAATTTTTTGAAAATAATTGGTCTCTTTAACTTATTCAAAAACAGAGTTATATACTTTTTGACGTATTAATTAATTATTATTACTATTTTTTTTTGTTTTTTCACTTAATGAATTTTTTTTAATAAACTCAAGTTTATCACTCATTATTTTAATATAATTCTCAATTAGCAAAGTACAATTAAAAAAATTCTCGTACTACTTAATTTTTAAGTATTGTAAAAGTAGATTTTTGGGGGGCAAGTCCCAGTGCAATGTATTAGTCGACGTCTGTTGCATTACTACAAAAAAAAAAGAAAATAATAATAATTGTGTATATTAATCGACTAAATTTGTTATTTATTTGACGTGGTATTTACCAAAGAAAGGATAAAAAAGAAACCCAGAAAAATTTTCTAAATAGGGCACTAAAAAACTGTCTCTCCCGCGTCTCGCAAAATAAAAAATTATCCCCTTGTATATTGCCGTGAAACCTATGTAATGTTTGTTAATAGTTTTTGTCGCTGATGTTTATCTCGTTGCATTTAAAAAGAAACTAAATAGCTGAGAGCCAACGATTGCGCGGACTCATCACAAAAAAAATTACACATACTACACGTTCAATGTTGTTTGGTTTGTTTGTTATTTAAACGTTTCATTCTCTTTTATTCTTCTCGTTTTCATTTTTAGTGTTTTTATCATTATTTGTTTTCGCCAAGCAATGAATTTATTGAGTAGTGTAATGTACTTTAAAAAAAAGATTATTATATTTCAAATAAATCTATATTAATATTTCTGTAATTTGTGTTTTTATTTATTTTTAATATTTGTCTAATTTAATTATTAGAATTCTAATTAAAATTAATAAAAGAAATGGTCGATTTGTTAGATCCAGTTAGGAAGGTAAGACTTTTACAATTTACACTGACAGTATACATGTTGCGCTGATCCAAGAGCCATATGTATATGAAGGAATAGTCGGAAGACTAACAACAAAAGTAGGTAAGTAAAGCCGGATTTATATTTGTCTGACGTGTCGTGTTGTGACGCGTCAGAACGGCATCGGTTGAATACATTTACTATGGTGAGATTTATATTTGTGTGTCGCAATGTGTTGTGATGCTTTGTGTTGTGTCGCATCAGCAGCGATCCCGATGTCCGTCAGAGCAGTAGAGTGGGAAGTGACGCATAACGACAGATCAGACAAGTGTACACCTGTCTTATGACTCGTCAGATTTGCGTTTCTTCTTTCTTTCGATATTAAATTTAATTATATTTAACATTATCAGCATCGCTCTCAAGCTCTTTAGCCAGGATGTGAAATTCGTCTTTAGCCTCTTTCTTTCTGTTCACTAGATGAACCCAATATCTTCATAATTTGAATCAGAAGATTCATGGGAAAACATCATAGACCCACGTATGAACTCTCTGAGTGCTACGATTGTATTGATTCAAAATATCGCCAGAGTGCGTCAGAACACAACATATAAATGTGAACACTAACCATTACGTCAGAGCGCATCACGACATAACACGTCAGACAAATATAAATCCGGCTTTAATCTATCACAGAGAAGAGTGCACTGCGAGAGCAGCGATACTCGCTATATCCTCCGTAAACTTACCTACCTTTAACTCAGTTTAAACCTAGGGACCTGGTTGCAACGTCAGCGGTACTGCCGACGCTGCACAGTCACTTTTGTCAATTTGAATGAGCGAAAGTCAAATATCCGATTGGACACTTTAAAACTTTTTATTACATAAAAATAATCCTGAATCCTTCAAAGTATTAAAGCTAACAATTAAAACATTTCAAGATCGAACGTGGAATAAGGAAACGCTGCAATAAAAATGATCGTACAAGGCTTGGCGCACTCGCACTTACGCGTTGTCTGTCATATTTAGTTTTTTGATTGAATTATTTATATAATGTTATCAAATAACTTATTAATAATTAAAATAAAGAATTGCAATTTTTGTAATGGATAGTTTATTATATTTTCGTTCTACCGGTTTCGACTCAACTTAGAGTCATCTTCAGGAACACGTCATAGTTTGAACTAAAACCATGGTACTATTATTGAACATTTGTTCGTGATTAAAAAGCAGTAAGGATATCAAGAACTTAATAATTACGTAGTTATGGGTGGATGTGATGATCGATGAATTGGCAGACAAGATGGTTTTCACAACCATATGAAAAACAATACATTGGTGTACAACAAATGAGCAAATCTCATAATGCAAACATTTACCCAAATTATAATGCATTGCTGTTTGCAAAAAAAACATTGTTATCCAAATGATATAACAATTAGTGAAATTTCAGCCGAAGTCAAGCTCGAATCGTTAGTTGAACATACAATTCAAAGATTACTTTCCGTTCAAAATGAAGTGCTTGAACATATCACCAATAGTAGTAGTAGTATTATTAAAAAAATGAACATATACAGGTGTATTTGAATGACGTGCCCAAACTTCAGGGGGTGATTCTTTAGGCAATTTTAAGGGTACTTTCTCATATAAACTATCAGCGATTTCGACTTCCCTGCGGAGCTACGCCCCTTCAAAAATTGCGAAAAATTTTGGTTTATTTTATTTTTCCCGAAAACCATTACCACCAAGAAAATGAAATTTGGGAAATATGTTTAGTTTATAATAGGGCATGTTTCGAGCCTATTTGTACTTTCAATCTTCCCTTCTAAGTTACTAAACATAACCACCCCCGTTCAATTTTTGTCTAGATCTTTTTTATGACGATGATAAATACATTGGAAATATTTTATTTAGATAGACGAAAATATTCTAAAACTTTTTTGCCTCTCTGATGTTCTTCGAAAAGTTAATAGTTTCTGAGAAAAAAATTAATTAAGCAAACACTAACTGTTAAGCTGTAGCGTTGTTAATCGAAAGTTGGAATGAATTTTTAAAGAAAAAATCTTAGCAGGCTTAGCAATCTTTGTCAGAAATATTTTTGACGTTTAAATGTCAGTGGTTTTCTTACTATTATTATTGTTTTATTTAAAATTTTGAAACGTCGAGTGAACGAGCGTAAATGCGGTAGAACTTTATTCATAAATTAATTTGAAAAACAATAATAATAGTAAGAAAACCACTGACATTTAAACGTCAAAAATATTTCTGACAAAGATTGCAAAGCCTACTAAGATTTTTTCATTAAAAATTCATTCCAACTTTTGATCGACAACCCCGTTGTTGAACGGGCAGTGTTTGCTTTATTATTTTTTTTCTCAAAAATTAGTCGTTTTTGGAAAAATTTTAGAGAGACAAAAAAGTTTTAGGATACTTTCATCTACCTATGTAATTTTTTTTTAATGTATTTACCCTCTGCATAAAAAAATTTTAGCAAAAATGTAAAGGGGGTGGTTACGTTTAGTAGTTTAGAAGGATAGGTTGAAAGTACAAATAGGGTGAAAACGTGCCCTATTATGAGTTAAACATATTCCCCAAATTTCATTTTCCTAGCGTTTATGGTTTTTGAGAAAAAAAAATTAAACCAAAATTTTCCGCCATTTTTGGAGGGGTGTAGCTCCTTAGGGGAGCCCAAGTCGCCCATGGTTTATATATCAAAGTACCCTTAAAATTGCCTAAAGAATCACCCCCTGAAGTTTGGGCATGTCATTCAGATACACCCTGTATATATTTCAAGTAGGGTTGTGATGATGCAGCGGGACAAAGTTGTTATAAACAGCCTTTTGAACGCGAAGGATATGATGACTCATTTTTGTTTTCAATTTATATAGTGCCATTACGAATCATAGGTGTATTTGAAGATAAACAGGAATTTGTTATATGGCAAAATAACATCGTCAACAAAATACTGTCGACCAGTACAAATAATTTTTCATAAAGAAACAAAAGAATTTGTCAAAAATGAAATTGAAAATATTAAAAAACAAATAGATGAACTGCCTCCAATGACTACTGAATTTCAAACAAACCTGATACCGTGTTATTCCTTATTTTCTTTAACCATGATTGATGGTAAAATTTGCAGCTGGTTATCTGATACGCCTGGTCAAAACTGTCACCTTTGTGGAGCTTCTCCGAAGAAAATGAATGACATAGATGTCGTATTAAAACGAGTGATAAAAGAAGATAAGTTGGAATATGGAATTTCAAGCCTCCATGCGTCGATAAAAGCGTTTGAGTGCATTTTGCATATTGCATACAGATTAGAGATATGTAAATGGCAAGTCAGGAAAGAAGATAAGGAAAAAGTAGAAACAAGGAAGAAATACAAAAAAAAAATTCGTCGTAACATAGGTCTTCTGGTTGATATGCCTAAGCCAGGTTTTGGGGGCAACCAATGACGGCAATACAGCCAGACGTTTTTTCAGAAGTCCTGAATTAGCTTCTGAAATCACAGGAGTGAATGAAAATTTTATAAAATAAATAAGTACCATTTTAATTACCATTTCCTGTGGTTTCGAAGTAAATAGCGTACTATTCAAAACTTATTGTATAGATACTGCAAGGATCTATGTTAATTTATATCCTTGGTATTATATGCCACAAAGTTTACATAAAATATTATTTCATGGGGCTGATCTAATTAAAAAGTCGGTTTTACCTATCGGACAAATGTCCGAAGAGGTACAAGAATCACGAAATAAGGATTCAAACCAATATAGACACTTCTTTTCGCGTAAATTCACTCGGCAGCAAACACTCGAGGATATGATGCACTTGCTACTCGTATCATCCGATCCACTAATTAGTAGTTTGCGACCATCACAACCTAAGAAAAGTAGCATTTTGCCATCAGAAGTTAAAAAAATGATTAAATGTAGTATAAATGATAGTAGTGAAAGTGAATCTTACAATAGTGACATAGACAATAACTAACAAATAAAAAGCGTTTTTTTTTCTATTTTCAGTTACATGTTACACTTTAAAAATGGTATTGTTTGATTAAGTGTAATTATATCAAAAACCATTGTCTTAAAGCGTTTCTTCGTTTATTTATACTTTGTACGTTAAGTTTCTTTTATTTTAGTACTTTTTCAGTAATACATACATCCTTCAATATTTACAAACTATTCACCTGTATTAGTGTTCTATCTTTTCGTTAACTTTTTCAAGAGTTAATTATATGTTTTATCAGACAAAATAATTTCGTTCGCTTAGATCGACAAAAGTGACCACTGTGCGCCGGATGGAAAGCAAGAAGCGATTATAGCCTCGGCATACACTTTGGGAAGTGATCATTTTCCCGTCTTAGCTAGGATACTTACTAGCAGGACTCCATTCCCTAGCAAATTCAAAACCCAGAAAACTGATAGGTTTAACTACAAGAAGGCAAACTGGACTAGTTTTTCAGAACACATTGACAACTGTTTAAAGCTGGAAACATCACCTTCTTACGAGGCATTGATAATGGCAATAAGGGAGGCGGCGGATTATTTCATTCCGAAGATTAAATTGAATGTCAAAACGAATTACCGTTGTAGATGGTGGGATGGCGATTGCGCGAGAATCGTGGGACTCAGAAAGATGGTAACCAGGCAGTTTATGACGTGTCCTAGCGAGATTAATTTTATCATAGTCAAGAGGTATATAGCTTTGAGTAAAAGACTTCTACTAAAAAAGAAACGAGAATCTTTCAAACGGTTCTGCGAATCACTATCCAGGGAGTCATCATTAGGAATGATATGGGGAACCATTAGGCATTACGACAGAGCCATTAATGGCACTGAATCACAATCATCTACAGACTTTGCATGGACCCGGGATTTTATGTCTCACCTTTGTCCGGAGTATGCACCTAATTTGGAAGA